AAAAAAAATATATACTTTTTGTATGGTGTGTGTAAATATATATATATATATATATATATATATATATATATATATATATATATATATATAACATTCATTAGTGAATTTTTGTTGTGTGGTTATGTAGTGTGAGGGCTATTTTGTGCGATTCTCTAAAGGTCAGTGAAACAAACTAGACAATTTAGACACCGCTATGTTCACTGTAATGGCCATTGGTTCAGATTTCATTAAATACGCTGTGAAGCTGTCCCTTTCATTTTATCGTATGCCTCCTTGAAAGGGGAAACGCAAAGAAATCAGACTCTATTAATCTAACTGGATGTGTTTGGCCTTCTAGGTCAGTGTTGTTGAAATCATGAAGTGGGTTTGCGGTGTGCGTTATATGCTATAGCTTCAGTGACCACCTGGTTTGTAGATTTTAGTTTCAGGCAACCGTTTCTTCGATGCTACTATGGTAAAAAAATAGTAATAATAAGATTCGACCAAAAAAATGATTCCGCTTGCTTTTGTTTCCATACAATCACATTATCGTTCAAATAAAACGCAAGGTCATAATTTTTTGTTGTTGTTAAAGCAACGTTACAAAAATTCAAATAAAATAGTAATTTCCATGTTAAAGTTGCCGTCTGAAACAATCTTACGTCATCTTGACGGTAATTTGCTAAAGCGTAGTGGCCGGGTGCCACGAATCGTATATCAACTATGAAACTATGCACACAGTACAGAAATTCCCACCCCACCAATCGTATATCAAAGATGAAGCTATTCACACAGTACATAAATTCCCACCCCCCTAATCGTATATCAAAGATGAAGCTATTCACACAGTACACTAATTCCCACCAAAATAATCGTATATCAACGATGAACCTATGCAGACAGTACAGAAATTCCCACCCCACTCATCGTATATCAACTATGAACCTATGCACACAGTACAGAAATTCCCACCCCACTCATCGTATATCAACTATGAACCTATGCATACAGTACAGAAATTCCCATTTTAACGATTGAACTTGTTATGTTAAAAAGAATATGTTGTTTTTTTTACACTCAACAGACAAAATAAAATAAAATCGCATCACGATGAAAGTGACAGGTTCCTTGAAGGGTCATCCTAATCATGACCCAGAGATTAGTGACTCGGAGTCAGAGGACTCTATTCCACCAGATGAGCTGCTATTTAAAGGTATGAAAACCATTCACCGACAACACTCATTTCAATTAAAAATTCATTTCACATAACGGTGATATTGACATACTTGAAAATAATAAAACTAGAAAAACAACATAAGGTTTCATAAACAGAGAAATCTATGCACTCACCTGACATCCAACAGTAGATCATTTTTAACATCACTTTCAATCCATGCATGGATAAATGGACATACCATCCAATAAACTCATGTCGTTAATGAATAGCAAAAGTCGCATGAACATTTTTTAATGTGTGTGTTCTGCAGACATGACGAGAAATCAGAAGATCCGTAGCGTTGTGATCGTCATCGTTAAGCTGCTGTCTTTCCTTGGACTGCTCTATATCTTCATTGTCTCCCTGGGATTACTGGAGTCTGCCTTCCAGCTCTTGGGCGGTAAGTGTAGCGCAGTATTCAAAGATTTGAAGTGCAGTCGAACGTCATCGTTTAGCTCCAAAATATTTATTGCGGAAAAAAAATATGTGATCGTTTGTTTCAGTTAGTGGAGTCGGAAACCTAGGAATTTGAGAGGTTGGAGTAGTTGAACCGTAGGAGCATTTGGCGAAGTTTTTTTGTGTTTTTTTTGTTGTTTTTTTTTTTATATTTTGATTACTTTTTTTTTGGGGGGGGGGGG